AGCGCATCAATGCGCAGTGCAATGTGCTTGGTGTGTGATTTCGTACATAAGCTCATATTGTATATACTGAATTGTATCATCTGTCATCTAGCTGTTGGTAATTCTGTTTGTGTCCGGACGACTTCCACTTGGATCATCAACCTGAGAAGGAATGTAGGCGTACTGAAGTAAGTCCACAGTTTTTCAAGAGTAGTTTGTCATGCCAGAATTCACAACATTTGATGTATTGATGGTACATATGTTTGTGTTTAATAATTGTGTGAGTTCCAATTATTGTAATTATTGATTAATCTTGTTTGTGTCCGGACATTCTTCAAACTACAATCGTCAATCCGAGAAGGGTTGTAGGCGTACTGGTGTAAGTCCTGCGATTCTTCAAAGGAATTACATGGAGACACGATCTGCGACTTTGTTTGTACTGTGTGTATATACGTGTGTTGTGTCATATCATTTGGCGTCTTTTGATTCATTCTGTTTACTTGTTGTTTTCGTATCTTGTTGTTTTCTTATCTTGCTGTTATGCATAATTTTGTGAAATTTTACGTCGCGATTACTTCTGAAGTTGTTTCTAGTCTTCTACATTCGTGAATTAATTGACTGATGTTAAAGACAGCAGATGGGTCGTATACGCCGGGGAGGCTGTTGCTGAGAACGACATGCACACTGAGATAACTGTTAGCTGTGGTCCCACACGCCGGGGGGCGGGAACGTAGACAACTTGAGGCTTGCATACGTCACCGTTACTAGAACTAATGTAGAATGAGTGACAAGCGATTCCAGTGGTAATTGGTAGTGGGGAGATGAGAGGATATGCGAAGAGTCCCATGAGGTGCTCCTATGGTTATGTTGCATTCTGCAAGAGTTATTCTAGCAAGTGGAGATTGTGTTGCAGGATGTCAAGAGGATGCTTTTAACTGGAAGGTGTGTATCGTCGTCGATGTTTTGTAGGTATGCCTGTGGTGTGTTGGCTTTTCTGTTTGTTTTCCGTTTCAGCTCTGTCCGTGTGACCCAGGTTCTCGCAATGGCATCCAAGTCAACGTGTATTGGTCGTGATGGAAAAAACGGATAGATCCGTTTCTTGCCGGGGAGTGTCAATGTAGTTGAAGATTGAGCGATGAATTCATGGTTGTTTGCTTAAACCCAACTTCCCTATATTTTCGCGGAGGCATCAATACACCAGTCATCGTCTCATCAGTCGCTGTTCAGAAAGAAGATCAAATACGGGCAGAAGTATTATCGTCATTTATTATTGCAATATTTGTTCACAGACCTTAGTTGTTATGCTGCGCACATTTTGGTGTTAGGATAAAGAATTCTCGAGTCACCAATCTGTGTTCTGGTTTTTGCATCCGTTAGTACTAAGCGTTTCTCAAAGGCTTCGAGGGACAGCGAGGGGCCCGGCGTAGCAAGAGCTGGACATTAACGGTTTTAGGACGTGATTGACAACTGCCGTTTTTCGTATCGGAATGACTTTACCCAGTCAATAACTTCCTTCTCTCATATATTTTTCTACTTTTTTATAACATTTCACAGAATCGATAACATAACATAAGTTGAAAGGTTACTTTGCAATGTCCGACTCATACCATATGTAAATCGGTCATGAAAATTTAGCATAACTAGCTTTGTTAACCAGCTGTTTTCTTCAGGATCATTCTACATAATTTCATCACTATTTGTTACACTACCCATTGACTATAACTTAGTTGCAGTAATATTGACTACTACACTTGATGAATTTTTAGGGGAAACTTCATTTCCTAGTCGTTTGTAATAACCTGCTTATACAAACGTATACATGCATAAAGGTGATTCTGCCAACAATGTCCTCAGGTATCGATGTATCTGGTGACCTATTGGGAAGCACTTGTCATGAAAGCTATTAATGTACAGCATACTGTATGATTGGAACAGGCTCAAAGCACTGCGATGCTGCAACTACAGTCATTGCCAAAATAATCTCAGAGCTTTGCATCAAAAAGGAGGGAAGGTGGCGCATACTGATCAACAGATATGGTTGCGGTCACAAATGTAAGTCCCTCCGATCCGTAGGTCAGCAACATGCAGTTTTTGACAGCTGGAGAAATAAAAATTAGTCTGGAACCTCAGCAAAAAATAATAAGGGTTGTACAGACCTAAATTATAAGTAAAATAGTGCTATTCCTCCCACTATCTACAAGCCTGTCCAGTTTCTTGTCAAGATGCTACCCCATGAGCCCTACAGAAATTCGTGAGGCATCTTACATTTCAGCTTGTCTTACTGCTTCTATCTTCCAGATCGCCGAATTCATTTCTCGCTGAAATATAACTTATCTACCTCACGATAATCCTTTTATTTAAGCACCATCATAATCCGTTTTATCTCACATAATTAAGCCTCTATTAAAGGTGAAACGTACCATTTGTTAATATGCGTCGATCCCATAAATTTTGGTTGTTTGGATTAAAATCACAACAACACCAATTTTCGAACAGAGCTATAATTTCAGCGGTTTGGAGTCAAGTCTGCATGGAAGTTCTAGGCAAAAAGAGGGGACAGGATAAACAGTGGCTCACTACGGACACTTGGAGACTAATAGAAGAGAGAAGGACAGTGAAACAACAGATTATCCAATGCACCGACGAGCAACAGAAACAGGAGTTGAATGCAAGCTACAATACACTGAACAAAAGAGTGAAGAATAGTGCCAGGGAAGACAAACGAAAACACCATGAAGCCATTTCAAGTGTAGCATAACAAGCTTCAGGCAAGGGAGACCTCGCAACATTCTACCAAACAACCAGGTACCTTTCGGGAAAAAGTTCGACCCAAGTAAAGCCAGTGAAGGGTGACAATGGAAATTCAGTCGCCAAAGAAGTGGAGCAAAGGAGACACTGGGTTGAACACTTCAAAAGACTTCTGAATCGACCGCCACTTACAACGCGCCCGACAATACCAACAACGGAAGCAGAACTACCAGTGAACATCAGCCCTCCGACGAGAACAGAAATCCTGAAGGCAGTCAAGATGCTGAAAGCTGGAAAAGCAGCGGGACCAGATGGAATCCCAGCAGAGGCATTGAAAATGTACCCAGAGAGATAAGTGGACTTCATGGAACCACTACTGGAGAAGGTGTGGAAAGAGGGCAAGGTACCCGGGGATTGGAAGAAAGGATACTTGTTTAAAATGCCAATGAAAGGAGACTTAAGTCAGTGCAAGAACTGGCGCGGAATTATGCTCCTGTCCATCCCGAACGAAATACAAACCGTATCATCCTGGAGAGAATCAAACACGCCCTGGATAAAAGACTTCGACTGGAACAGGCTGGCTTCAGGAGGAACAAGTCATGCATCGATCAAATCGCAACACTACGTATGATCATTGAACAGAGCTCGGAATGGCAGTCAACTCTCCATCTGAACTTCGTCGACTTTGAAAAGGCCTTCAACAGCTCAGTTTCGATTGAGAGGTGATTTGGCAACTACTTCGCTACCACCGAGTGCCACCGACAATTATGCACCCCATCCAACAGTTGTAAGACAATGCTGCATGCCGAGTAATCCACAAAGGGAAACCTTACGGAATCCTTCGAAGTGAAGACAGGAGTAAGACAAGGCTGCCTACTATCGCCAATGACTTTCCTGACTGCAGTAGATTGTATAATGCTACAGATAGTAGGCAACGAGGAAACAGGCATAAAAGGGAGCCACACAAATGACTTGGAGGATCTGGACTTCGCCGATGATACATGTCTGACTTCCCACAAACTGGAAGATATGCAAGTGAAAAGCAACAAGTTGGCAGAAGAAGCATCAAAGATAGGACTCCAAGTAGACACAGAGAAAACAGAGGTGATGACGACTCCTGGCCAACAGCAACATCAACAACAGGTAACAATCAGCCAGCATAAATGGGAGGAACCCGAAGGAAACAGCCTCCTTTACCTACCTGGGAAGCATCGTCTCAACTACAGGCGGAACTAATGAGGATATCAAAGAGAGTATCGGGAAAGCAAGGCAAGCTTTCACTAATCTTAAGTCTGTGTGGGGGTCAACAAAACTCAGCTCAAAAATTCAGATCCGGATTTACAACTCCAATGGGAAGTCAGTACTGCTATACGGATCAGAAACTTGGCGCGTCACAAGGAGCACCTCATACAAAATACAGACCTCCATCAACAGCTGTCTTCGCCCTGTGCTCCATTCAAGATCAGATGGCCGGCCATAAACGATTAGCAACAGGGATCTCTGGGAGCGAACCAACCCAGCAGGAACTAACTGTGCAACAAATATGCAGGAAGAAATGGAGGCGGATTGGCCATACTCTGGGTAGACCATCAAGTGACACCACTAGATAAGCCCTCGAGTTGAATCCGAACGGGAAGCGGCGAGTTGGTCGTCAGTGCAAAGGTGACTTGGATAAGGTCATGTGAAGAGGAGATGATAGCATGTGGGCAAACGTGGAGTCATGTGAAGACGATGGAGGAAAACCAAACGTAATGGAGACGTGCGGCTGAAGCCCTATGTTCCTATAGGAGCTAAAGGAAACATTAATACGAACATATTTTGTGATGCTCGTTTGCGAAGTATTTAAATCTGGTGTGGAATTTTGAAATGGGTCAGTAAGTGGTAATACACCATGCATGACAATATCGGCCCGGTGAAAGCACTGTCTGGTAAGCTAAACCTCTGGAACTGAAGAGGCACGAACGTACCAATGGTCTTCGAGACAGTAAAAGAGCTGAAACTTAGATTTGAACCTTTCACCATAAACTTTTAGCCAGGTGAAAATTATAGCAGAGAATATAACGCAATAGGGACGTGCAGCTGAAGCCCTATGTTCTGCTGGGAAATAAGGGATATATTAATGATAATAATATTCTGACCAAATTAACTCATCATTTCGCCCACAATTACGAGCTTTGTAACACTCCCATCATGCAAGTGGAAACGGCATAAAATATGCAAATTTCACTACAAACGTCTCTAGAACTCCAGCACACTAATGATCACAAGGGTGTTACGACTGAGATTAGTTCTCCATTTCAGCATTCAGATACCCAGATTTCATATAGAGGAGTTCTGTTTATTTCTCCATAAATTAAATTTAGGTAATTTTTGCTGTATCTTGGTGACTGTAGTTATTTTGTTTGAAAGGTTTCCTTTGTTTTGTCAATCCAATTGCATCCAATATATGGCGACGGCGCTAAGCGACATTGTGTTTCGTCTTAATCAGACTTCAAGCGATATGATTGAAAGACGTTCTCTCTTACGTCTTACAGACGTTTCAAGTGGGTATTTGTTCGTCAGGCTTTTTTTTCGCTTGTCGTTTCGTGTTACTTACTGTTTTCTCTCTTCAGGTCTTGCTGAATTGGCGCATAGAGAGTACCAAGCTGGTGATTATGAACGTGCAGAACAACATTGTATGCAACTGTGGCACCAAGACCCTGAAAACACATCGACTTTATTACTACTTAGTTCTATACATTTCCAATGTCGACGAATGGATCGATCAGCTTACTTCAGTCAACTTGCAATCAAACAAAATCCTCTGATGGCAGAAGCTTATTCTAACCTCGGGAATGTCTTCAAAGAACGAGGACAACTGAAGGAAGCAATTGACAACTATAGACACGCATTGAGAATCAAGCCAGATTTTATAGATGGATACATTAACTTGGCTGCTGCACTAGTCGCAGCCGGAGACATGGAGTCTGCAGTGAATGCCTATGCCACAGCATTACAATACAATCCAGTATGTTCTACATCCATGTTACTGTATTTCCTAGGAATTGTATTGTGTGCGGAGTGACCTTGGAAACTTACTGAAGGCTCTTGGACGCTTGGATGAGGCGAAAGTAAGGCGGCATATGAGTCGCCGCGGCGCGCTGCGATTCTTTGCTTGGATGTTTTTGCTATGTGTTTTCTTTTTTGAAATAGCGGTTTTCACTGCCGCCGCGCTGCTTTTTTATCCAACCAAACTTTCCAGACTACCTACAGCCTTTCTAATGAACGAGGTTTTTTCTTTCAAACAGCTATGTGTGTGCAGTCTCTGGTTGGCCACTGTCCCGTCAATCCTTCGGTTCGAACTGGTTCTGTGAACAAATGCATTCGTGAGTTCCCCTTCCTAAAACCCTTCGCGCGATTCCTTAAGAGTGCAAGTTTTGCACTGCGCTTTAAGTTATTTCACATCAAGTTCGGCTCAGGAGTGGTGAGTCGCTGTATGTTGTAGGTACATTTGGCGCTAGCATGCATAGCTGTAGACCTGTTGGTTGGCAGCCGCTCAGCACACTCGTCTTCTCCATATCATTACGTGTTTTTTCCGCTTTGTAGTCGTGCTACCTAAAGGCGATCGAGACCTGTCCAACTTTTGCTGTGGCTTGGAGCAATCTTGGTTGCGTCTTCAACGCTCAAAACGAAATATGGTTGGCAATCCACCACTTTGAGAAGGTAGGTTTCATTGATTTAAGTAATTGCTTCCTAGGCTGTAACATTAGATCCCACCTTCTTGGATGCGTATGTAAACCTAGGAAACGTACTCAAGGAGGCCCGGATATTTGATCGAGCGGTAGCAGCCTACCTGAGAGCTCTAACATTATCTCCAAACAACGCTGTCGTCCACGGGAACTTGGCCTGTGTTTACTACGAGCAGAACTTAATCGACCTCGCAATCGACACATACAAAAGGGCGATTGAATTGCAGCCCAACTTCCCCGATGCCTACTGCAACTTGGCTAATGCTCTCAAAGAAAAAGGAAAGGTTTCGGAGGCAGAGGATTATTACAATACGGCTTTGAGACTATGTCCTACGCATGCGGACTCACTGAACAATCTAGCTAACATTAAACGTGAGCAGGGGAAAGCTGAAGAAGCTATACGGCTGTATGTTCGAGCTCTAGAGATATATCCTGAGTTTGCAGTGGCTCATTCCAATCTCGCCAGTATGCTTCAGTTGCAGGGAAAACTTCAGGAAGCTTTGTTACATTATCGAGAGGCGATTCGTATATCACCAACATTTGCTGATGCCTATTCTAATATGGGAAACACGTTAAAGGAATTGCAAGATGTTCAGGGTGCAATGCAGTGCTACCAAAGGGCCATACAAATCAACCCTGCGTTTGCTGACGCTCACTCAAACTTAGCCAGCATCCTAAAAGATAGTGGTAATCTCGCGGAGGCCATAACGTCCTACAAGACTGCACTTAAGTTGAAACCTAATTTCCCAGATGCGTTTTGTAACCTTGCTCACTGCTTACAAATTGTGTGTGACTGGTCTGACTACAAGCATAGAATGAAGAAACTCGTCTCCATGGTTCAGGATCAATTAGAATCCAACCGCCTACCATCTGTGCATCCGCACCACTCTATGCTGTATCCACTGACACATGAACAGCGTAAAAAGATAGCCGGAAAGCATGCCTCTCTCTGTTTGGAGAAGGTTTCTCTGTTACACCATCAACCGTTCAGGTTTGCCAAAAAGTTACCTGCTGGTCAGCGCTTGAGGATTGGGTATGTTAGCTCCGACTTCTGTAATCATCCGACTAGCCACTTGATGCAAAGCATTCCTGGTTTGCACGATCGAACAAAAGTTGAGGTATTTTGTTACTCGCTGGCACCAGATGATGGCACCAACTTCCGAGCCAAGGTGGCGAATGAAGCCGAACACTTTATTGACCTGAGCGGAATTCAATGTCACGGGAAGGCTGCTGATAAGATCGCTAGTGATGGGATCCATATCCTACTGAATATGAATGGCTACACGAAAGGTGCTCGTAACGAAATATTTGCGCTAAAACCCGCACCCATTCAAGCTATGTGGTTGGGTTATCCGGGCACAAGTGGTTCGACGTTTATGGATTACATAATTACAGATATGGTCACGTCACCTCTCCAACTTGGTCATCAGTACTCTGAGAAGTTAGCTTATATGCCCAAGACATTCTTTATCGGAGACCACCAGCAAATGTTTCCTCACTTACGCAATCGGGTAGTCCTAGAGAGTGCTGAAGACGCTACTGCTGGTCGTCGCGTGATGGACAATTCTATCGTGGTCAGCGGTCTGGATATCAAACCCTTGCTGCAAGTGGCTTGTGTACGTGAGGTCAACTACGGAGGGCGCTTGTTTGAGGTCCACGGTAACCAACGGAAAGAAGTATCTTATTTTGTGAAGCTGACTGTCTTAACTATTCCTTCCTTACAACCTATTCAAAATATGATACGCACGAATAGCCCCTCCTGTACCATCAATGGCGTGGTCATTCACAATGGCTTGGTGACACAGCAAACACAGTCGAAAGCCTCAGCTGGTGAGGAAGTGCCGCGTGACCTAATACTAACCTCTAGACAACACTACGGCTTGCCGGAGGACGCTGTTGTATTTTGCAACTTTAATCAACTGTACAAGGTTGATCCATCGACAATGCGGATGTGGGTCGAGATTTTAAAGGCTGTTCCTAACAGTGTACTATGGCTGTTACGTTTTCCAGCAGCTGGAGAAGCTGGGGCACTTGCGGCAGCCTCGGAAATGGGTCTTCAGCAAGTCAACCGTCGTATTCTTTTCAGTAATGTTGCACCCAAAGAGGAGCATGTTAGGCGCGGTCAGGTAAAGTCCTATAGTTTCCAATAACTTTTCAATACAGGTTGCCGATGTCTGTCTGGATACGCCTTTGTGCAATGGACACACTACTGGGATGGACGTCTTGTGGGCTGGTTGTCCTGTGGTCACCCTTCCTCTTGAGACTTTGGCCAGTCGGGTCGCGGCAAGTCAACTTCATACCTTGGGGTGTCCTGAGCTTGTAGCTAGCAATCAAGAAGATTATATTCGCATCGCAACTAAGTTGGGGAACAATCGGGAATACTTGCAGGCAATGCGGGCCAAGGTAAGAGTTGCTTTTTTCTTGTAACTTTCGTTTGACAGGTTTGGAAGGCAAGAGAGTCATCACCGCTTTTCAGCTGCCGTAGCTACGCTGCCGACCTGGAGGCTTTGTACTACCGAATGTGGCAACAGTACGAGGCCGGCACAATAGACCACATCGTAGAGTGGCCCTCAAAGTCCAACAAGGAGAACGCCTAGTTTGCTTAATGTGTTCTTTTCACCTGTAAATATATCATTTATTATCATCACTATGCTCTGTTTCTCTGAAGTGACGCATGAGGAGATATAATGTTAGTTGTTTACTGTGTGGTATGGTTCCGGTAAACTAATAGGGCTATTTGGTGGAGTAGTCTTCAGTTGCGTTTAGTCTGTTGGATAAGGTTTTCCTCACGAAGTGTGTCAGCATCTTGGTACCTGAAAGGTCGAGATACGTAGCTCAGCTTGGTTTCGCATGGGGAGCTTGGTTCTGTGTCCTGACACGATCGAAGACGTTTTCACGCGAATAAGGGAGTTCCGTGTGAGTCAAACGTATTTGTGGGGATGAATTCATTACTGGTCAGCTTTCGTAGGGACACTGGGTTACGGTAGTCTTGTGTTTTTGAGTTATTTTAGCCAATTGTAGTTGCTAGTTTTGTGTAACTTCAGCTTGAGGATTCTCCCTTTAGTTGGTCGCATTGCATATAATTGCAGTAGGAGCTTGTCGACAGCTTACTGCTATAAAAACACCAGTATACTAACCAGAGTCTAGTCTGTTTTGAAGACTAATGGTTTGTCAACTTGAAATTAGCTACAACTAATTCAACTCTAGCTTTTTGAACAACGGGAAAGTAAACTTCAAAGATCGAAGTTGACATATAGTGGTAAGGTGATATACAGCCCATGATCTATAGTGCTTTAGGAGTTGTCCTCTTTGTGAACTTGCAATGAACCTTCAGGGTCAAGTGTTACATTGGAGGTAGCCCTGTTAGACTGGTGTTTATCATTGATTACCCAGCTATATTTGGAAGTAGGCAAATCTAGCTGTGACAGCCACAGTGGGACTAGCTTGAGGAACACAGCATCTAAGATTCTACGTTTCATACTCATGCCAAAACTAGGCAGGCTTTGGAGAGATCGACACTCATGGAGCACAAGCATTCTTCCAACAAGGATTAAGCTGCACTGACTGGATTCAACATAGAACTTGGCACCGAAGTGCAGCAGTTCGAATTTCCACGAGTGCATTGACTACATCTTTGTTATTCGACAGAGCCCTGAATACAAGCACACATGCCGGCGTCTATTACCTTAAATGTCTCCCGACAATCCGTAGATGCTGCGTCAGTACCTGGCTGTAGAGGGAATGCCGAGAAAATACGTCATGCTAACCAAGGTACACCTATCGAACTGATGCATCTGTTTAGGAATGCATACACAACATTCGTGGTGACTGTATACTGTCTGAATTCATTGGTGGTATTTAATTTCTTTGACCAATTACTAATTTTGGACGCACATTTTAGTGAAGATACGCTCCTATATTATATTGTGTCTAATTTAAGATTATATCGTTTCTGTAAGATCGGTGTATTTTCCCCTAATTTTCTCATGCTTGGTGTTGAATCCGTAATTATGTTAAGCGATTCTTGTTCCGAGAGTGGCCTAGCTCTCGTATTGAAAATTATCTGATGGGATCTCACTAAATTTTGACACTACTAATGTTACGTCCAGTGACGCACCTTCAATCACTAATGTTGTACTTTATACACCATTTTTGTGTTATTTAGACCATATGTGGTTCATAATACTGTTTTGCATCGTTCGAATGGGGATTTTTGTTATCTGGGAAGCATTTTGTGTTCAGAAATAGTGCTCTTATCGTTTGGATGCAGAATAGTCTTACAACTGAAGTTTATTATTATATTTACTTGAAATTTTTTAGGTTCTGTAGGCAGTCTCCCAGTTTCGGCTGCAGCTTTTTAGTTTATGTCTGCTTCGAACAATCCGCTTTTTTAGGTTTCGATGGAGAATTATGTCTCCTTTTTTGTTTTTACTTGTACCCTGACTGCAGCAGCTCTTGCAATTTTGTGAGCTATAATTTTAGCCTCCTGAATAATGGCCCTAGTAATTCAGTGCAACAGGTCTCATGGGTTCCCTGCAACTTCATTTATTGCATCTTACTAGCGATGAATTTTTTAGTTGACTTGTATTCTTTTCTTTTGTTTTTTTGTCTACATACGCGTGTTTAATAGTTTGATATTTACCTAAGGAATACTTTAACGCGAGATCAGAATAAACAGGCAGAGGGATTAACGAAAAATTGTAGAAATCTAAAGGAAATTATCTGTCCCACTTATCTTTGCAGCATCGATCCAAATAATAACGGTGTGAATTAGGCTGTGAATACCATCGACCATCGGATTAGGAAGAGAAGATAGGCGGTTACTTCACTGGAATCGGTGTGAACATTGAGAGCAGTCATCACAAAGAAGGAGATACGGATCTTAAACAAGCGTCAAGCCAGTGATTGCATCTAGTTCCCGGGCTAGCACGTGCTCCACCAAAGTCATTTTAAACAGCTTGATGGAGACGTGCAGCAAGAGATGCACCTTTCGGTTTGTAACAAAGATCGTATGGCCGGCAAAAAAGAATAATAAGAATTGTAGGAGGCAGCAAACCCGTTGGGAACCTATTGTACAGCAAATGTTCTCGTAGAAGATCTATTGGATGGACGCTAGAAACGCTCAAGTAACATCAGATACCAGTCCCTCGAATGGGACGCCAATGGGGAACGTTAGGTTGCGTGTCCGCAGGAGAAATAAAGATCATGTGAGAAGGTGATGATTGCTTGTAGGTGGTTGTGCAGATGGCTGAAAATTATAAAAATACACTATTCTCACTTTTTAAACGTGAGGAACACCAGTTCACAGGCACCATCAATATGATAAATAACATTTATATGGAGTAAGCATATTTACAATTATTCGATTACACAAGATATATATGAGACAAGAGAGCAGAACAATATTTATATATACAGGCAGAGCCAATGTGTACAGTTTATTGGTGAGCTTCATCGTTGACCAAATTTAACCGGGATACGCATCATAAATGAAGGTTGAGTTACTGGTGATAGGTACGGTAGGTTACTCATAAAGTGATGAAATTTTCTTGTGTCCATTTAAAGTTACTTAGAAGTAAAGTTATAGGAACAAATAATTTTCTGTCCATATGCAGCTAAGAATCAGAACAGGGGCAAACTAATCAGCGTGAAATGACAAGTGGAGCATGAAGGAGTTGGAAATTATCATAGCGGGAGTCAGTCAGATTATGAATGCTAATTGTTTCTTATGTTACCAGATATACTCTGTCTGTCTGTCTGGATTCAACATAGAACTTGGCACCGAAGTGCACCAGTTCGAGTTGCCACGTTCCAAATAGCACACAAAAGTAGACAAGAAGATGAGTGAAGAGAATCAATACAGTCTGACAAGTATAAGAGTGAAACAAAAAATGGGTAATGGTAGAAAGGAATATGAAAGATTACAGAGACTGAATACATCTGCGCCACTGACAACGATTTTGAGCCATGTCACCTATTGTCTCTAGCCGTTGATTCCCAGAGTCCCGAGGGCCCCAACCCGGAAGTCTGCATCTCCCTACCTGACTCAGTTTAACGGTCAAGGATTTCATGGATTGATGCCATGTTTTTGTTTGGCCACCACTTACTCTTTTCCAACCTGTACCTATATCAGCTAGTAATGCCCGTCGCGCGAGGCGATGGTTAGGCATGTGCAGCACGTGACCTAGCCATCTCAATCTATGTAACTTTATAGCCTCGTCGATTGATTTTCCCTCTTTGCCCAGCACTCTACGCCTAACGTCAACATTACTTACCTTATTAAACCACCTAAGGTGAGAAAGAGATCGCAGACATCTATGATCGAAAGCAGTCAACCTTTTCATGCCTTCAACTCGTATTGGATTGTTTCAGAGCCATAGAGAAGGACGGAGCGAACTGCTGAGCAGTACATACATCCTTTGATTGATAGCCGATGTCATGCCGGATATACTGGCTCTGTAAAGGTTTTTATTGGGAGCTATTTATCGGTAAAATAGAAATATTTCATAACTGTCATCCAGGATGCGTTGCAGGAGAAAGTAATGTGTATTTCGCGGGCACTTGTAGGATTTGGGGGCAGTAATTTGTTTTTGTGAGTCGCCGAAGATCTACGTTCTTAATCATCTGAGTACCGCAAGACACATTATTATTATTGTTCCCTTGGGTTCCTAGTGGAACATAGGGCTTCCACTGCACGTCTCCACTGGCTTCTGCAGCACTGCTCACCTTTATCCATGTTAGTCCATACTGTTTCAACTCCTCTTCACACGATCTCCTCCATGTCACCCTTGCACTGACGTCCCACTCGCCGCTTCCCTTTGGACTTCCACTCGAGTGATAGCCTGACGCGCGATGTCACCAAGCGGCCTCCTCAGCGAGTGTCCAATCCATCTCCACTTTCTTTTGCATACTTGTCGGGCGATTGGTTCCCGTTTTGTTTGTTCCCATAGTTTCTTGTTGGAGATTCTTTCCGGCCCGGCCATCTGATCTTCAGCATAGATCCAGCGAAGATAGTTTTTGATAAAGGTCTGCAACAGGCTGTTGTAAATATTCTTTGTGACCCACCCGCCAAGTTTCTGATCCGTATGGAAGAACTGACTGACTTGACGTTGTTTGTTATTGAAAATCCGACTGAATTTTGTTAATGATGCTGAGTTAAGTGACGATGATTTCTAGATTGGTTTTAGGTTGATGAATGTATTTCTCGCCTTTCCGATTCTCGCTCGATTTGAAATCCTGGTCCGTTCCTCCTGTAGTTGAGACAATGCTACCTAGATAAGTGAATGAAGTAACCTTCCGTTGATGGTGATTGGCGCTGGATGCTGCTGCTGTTGGTCGGTTATTTTCATAACCTCCGTCTTGTCTATGTTCACCTGGAGTCCTGTCTTCTCCAGCTGCTTCTTCGACCAGTTTGTCGGTTTTCGCTTGTAAGTCTTCGATTTTGTGTGACATCAAGCATAAATCATCCGCGCGCAAAATCCAGATCTTCTAGTTTCTTCACGTTGGTCGGTCCAGGACATCCCTGTCTTCTTGTTGTTTCCCACTACCTAACACATAATCCAGTCCACCACAATTAGGAATATCATTGGTGATAATAAGCACCCTTGTCTGACTCCTGTGTTTACTCCAAACGCCTCGCTGAGTTT